CTACTCTGATGATCTAGTCATTGCCTCACCCCCAGGTAAATGATCTCTCTTTGCTTCTTGCTGTTCTTTCTCAACTGAGCTGTCCATTTCTAACAGCCTTTTTTCAGCCTCCTTTGCTATTGGGCCTTCTTTTCTTTTCTTTTTTTTTTCTTTTTCTTTTTTATTTTTAGGCAATTGGGGTTAAGTGACTTACCCAGGGAATACAGCTAGTAAGTGTCAAGTGTTTGGTCTGAGGCCGGATTTGAACTCAGGTCCTCCTGACTTCAGGGCCTGTGCTCTATCCACTGCACCACCTAGCTGCCCCTAAGCAGTTTTTTTTTTTTCAAAATCATTTTAAAAGTCATTTCTTTGAAATCGCTGGCTTTTGTATTTGAGCCCATGTGAATACTTTAAGTTACTGACTGTCCAGTTATATTTTCACAACACTTAGCTCAATGATTATTGTCCATATTCAATTTGGGATCTAACTTAGACAAATCCTACATATATGCAATTGCAAGCCAGAGTTCCCTTTCTTTTCTGCAATTACTGAAATTCTCTATTGCTTTAGAAGATGCTAAAGGATATTAATGTATCTTCCCCAAAATAGAGATTTGGGTTTTGTTTAAGCTTTTTAAGTTCATTTTCTTCACAGTTAACATGTTTCTTTTCAATCTTCTTAAACTAGGTTGTACTGATGCGGTTTAAAGGTTAAGTGGTGCTGAGACCCCAAAATCACAACACGCGGGTCCTGCCTGAAAGAATTAGACCCAAGCCTTCTTTCGGCCAAAGACAAGGTTTATTAGAACATCCATCATATTGGGCAGACCCTTAAAGAGTCTGAACATTAGTAAGCTATTGGCTAGATTTTAAGAATCTGAGCCAGGGCCTTCTTTTCTTGACAAAAGCCTCTATTTTCTTGACAAACTCCTCCTCTTCCTCAAAAGGAGGTATGTAAATCAGCTCCAGGTATTACACCCCACTGTCAGTGTATCTGGTATTATTGAATGAGCCAACAGACTGGGAAAGGCCCAGAGTGCTAAAGAAGTAGACCAACCTCACTAAAAATTGCCTTGCTATCTTCCAATCCTCTGACCTTGTCCCACCCCACCCCCCAAATATTCTTATAATGTCTTTCTTTTTATTGTCTGGATGCACTCCAGAAGTTAAGGGACTCCTATTAATTTCCACAGCAGCAAAGTAGAACAGTGGATAGAGCACCAGGCCTGGAGTCAGGAAGACCTGAGTTGAAATCCAGTCTCAGATATTTACCAACTATGTGACCCTGGGCAAGTCACTTAACCCTGTTTGCCTCAGTTTCCTCATCGTAAAATGAGCTGAAGAAGGAAATGGCAAACCACTCCAGTATCTTTGCCAAGAAAATCCCAAATGGGGTCACAAAAAGAGTCAAGCACGACTGAAACAACCACAAATGAATTTCTTGTCCAAAAACTTCACCATTTATATAAAACATAACATTTCTAGTTTTAAATATTAAATTTTATTTAGAAAATCAATGTTATAATACTAAACTAATCTTGAGACATGTAGTCTACATAGTAATAAACCATGAAACCATTATATAAAATTAATATGTATCAAATGAAATAGCAACATATGCAGGCTAATGTTATTAATCATCAGGAATACTGTTCAACACTTCATATTTATGATTCTATGATAAAATACCCATAGAAAAGAAAGAGAAAAGTCCAAAAGTCTTCAGACATAGGATGCCATGTTTATTTTTTCAGGTTTTTTTATTTTATGTTTCCAATTGACAAAAATACACCATCTCTACCTGCCACTTTTCCATACACCCTGAAAGAAAAGCAATACCCTTGTAACAAATTTGCAAAGTCAAACAAAAAAAAAATTCCCTGCAGTGACGATTTCAAAAATATGTGTCTCAAACTGCACCCTGAGTGTATTACTTCTCTGGCAGGAGGTACATAGTATGTTTCTTCATGGGTCCTCTGGAATCATGGTTGGTCATTTCATGGATCAGAGTTCTTAAGTCATTTAAAAGTTGTTGAATACTGTTATTGTGTAAATTGACTTTTTGTTCACAAATGTATGTGTACTCATTGCAGCCTCTGAGGCTGAGATGCAACAAAATATGCATTGATTCTCTGCTGCTTGCATTAATTTTGGCCTTACAACTAACATCAAGAAAACAGAGCTTCTCTACCGGTCAGCACCATACCGTCCAGACGTGTAACCATCAGCTACAGCAAATAGAGAAATATTGAATGCTATGGATAAGTTCACCTACCTTGGCAGTATACTTTCCAGGGATGTACACATAGATGAAGAGGTTGACAAGGCAATGCCAGAGCTAGTTCAGTGTTTGGGAGGCTCCAAAGGAGAGTGTGAGAGAGAAAAGGTATTAGACTGCCTACCAAACCGAAGGTCTACGGTGCTTTGTGCTGACCTCATTGTTGTATGCCTGTGAAACCTGGACAGTCTACCAATGCCATGTCAGAAAACCGAATCGCTTCTACTTGAATTGTCTTAGGAAGATTCTGAAGATCACCAGGCAAGATAAGGTATCAGACACTGAGGTCCTTTCTCAAGCTGAATTGCCAAGCATTCAAACTCTGCTGCAAAGAGCTCAGTTCTGATGTGTTGGCCTAGTTGTTCAAATGTCAAACCTACGTTTACCTAGAAGACTGTTTTATGAAGAACTCACACAAGGCAGGGGCTTACATGGTGGTCAGAAAAATTGATCCAAGGACACTCTCAAGGTCACGAAGAACTTTGGAATCAACCGTGAGACATGGGAGATCCTACCACAGGACTGCCCAGTATGGCATGCTCATATCAAAGAAAGCAATGTTATGTATTCTATGAGCAAAGCAGAATTTCACTAACTCAAAAGAAATCTGAGATGCCCAAATTTAGAGACATCTCCATTCCAAATGGTCGTATGAACTATCTGTGCCTGATGAGTTCACATTAGTCTGATCAGCCACAGTTGGACATACTGTACATCGACCATGACATTGTGATGTCATTTTGGTCCTCTTCAAGCTTGAAGGACAAACAATATCATATAAATTGTTCTCCTGGTTCTGCTCACTTCACTCTCCATCGATTTATTCAAGTCTTCCCAGATTTCTCTGAAACTGTTCCCTTCATCATTTCTTACAGCACAATAGTATTCCATTAAATTCCTATCCCATGAATTTGTTCAACCATTCCCCAATTGTTGGACACCCTTTTAGTTCCCAGTTCTTTGCCACCACAAAAATGTAACAGGGTTTTTGCGTATGCTCATCTCACTTTGTAAATCACCCCCAGCCTGCCATTTAATTTGTTACCATATTCTCATAAACCCTATGTCTAGTATAATCCAGGAGTATATATGGTTTGTTGTTGGTTGTTCAGTTGTGTCTGACTCTTTACGATCCCGTGGACCATCACACGCCAGGCCCTTCTATCCTCCACTATCTCTCGCAGTTTGTGCAAATTCATGTTCATTGTTTCCATGACACTATCTATTCCTCTCATCTTCTGCTGTCCCCTTTTCCTTTTTACTTCGATCTTTCTCAACATCGGAGTCTTTGCCAATGAGTCCCGTCTTCTCATTATGTGGCCAGAGTATTTAAGGTTCGGCTTCAGTATTTGACCTTCCAATGAGTAACCTGAATTAATTTCTTTAAGTATGATATTTTCTAATAAATTAGTAAAATTTAAACCTCTCACTCATTAATTACCCAACTTGAAGTCCCCACTCCATGTTATTAAAAAGTTGAAAAACTTCTTTCATAAATAATAACTTAAAACATTTCAGCTGTGTGAGAGATCACAGCTAAATATATATTTGTCTTTGTAGTATTGTTTACATGATTAATAAATTGTATAGTTAATAACAAATGTTTATTTAAGTCTAGGAGAAAAAGGATTTTGATATACAGAGAAATATGAGTATATGGGAAAATGTTTATGTTTATTATTACAACTCTAAGTCCCCAGCAGATTATGAAGGAACCAGTATCTGATTTATGGAAAGTAAAAGAGGGTGTTCCTCAAAATCCTGCAAAGGAGAAGGGTAGCTTTCCCTCTGGCATGACTAACACTTTTGATATGCTTTAACCCAAAGTCTAGAGTCTACTTTTTATGTTTATTAATTATAATTACATAAATTATGTTTAATAAAATAAAGGTGATGACTTGGAGCTAGTTTATTAATATTATGATGTTAATTAGTTAATGAAATGTTACTCTTTTAGTCATTAATAAGGAAATAGCCAGACATATTCCTGGATTGTCCTATAACTCTGGATAAGGATGAATGAAGAAAATAAATCAAGTAATAGGTAGATAGATAAATTTGAGAAAGGATGAGGAAAAGCTTCCTGTAATTTGTTGGCCCTGAGATAAGCCTTGAAGGAAGCTAGAGATTGATTCTAAGAGGCAGAACCAAGGAGGGAAAGCATTCCTGGTATAGGGGACAGCTTGTACAAAGGCATAATGGACATGGAATATTTGAACAACGAGTAGTCCAGTTTGTCTAGAGATGGTGATGGGGAATGATCAGACTGTCATGTCATTGCAGCAGATCACAAATATGCTTCAGCTTCTTCATCTCATTTGTGAAGAGCGATCTCTAAGGTCCCTTGCAGCTCTGTATTCTATGATCCTGTAAAAGAGGCCCCCAAGTCACAGTTTGTTAGAAGCATGGACAGGATTCCAACTGAAGTCCGAATCCAGTGTGCTTTCTATCACTGCAAGAAATGCAGTTAGAAATTAGGTATAAGGGGCAGCTAGGTGGCGCAGTGGATAGAGCACAGGCCCTGAAGTCAGGAAGACCTGAGTTCAAATCTGACCTCAGACCAAACACTTGACACTTACTAGCTGTGTGACCCCGGGCAAGTCACTTAACCCCAATTGCCTAAAAATTAAAAAAAAAATTAGATATAGTCAGAAGTAGTACCAGACAGAAAGTAACTAAAGCAATTAGTTTAATTTGATTAATTAAAATAATTTAATTAGTTAATAGAACATTAATCTCATACTAGATGGGGGAGAGGAAGAGATCTTAATTGCATTTAGTAAGAAGCTATTTCTCTAGGCTGGAACTGTTTAACCAAACACAAGTTAGGGAGGGGAGATGGAGAAAAATGAGGCACAGAGATGAGGGGCAATGAGAAGGGAAGGAACTGGAAATTAAATGAATATCATACAAATATATTATGCAAATAACCTCTTCTCCTTTGGATCCCAAGCAGATTCCCAAAGGAAACAGAGAGGATTGGGGAGAAAGGTTGCCCCCATTTTATAAGTGGAAATAAGTAAGGGTCAATCATGATTCAGCCAACTGAGGTTGAACCCTGGAGATCAAGCCCAGCCCTCTTGTCACATGTTGGGGGAAGGGAGTGGATTATCTGATGTCACAGCCGGTGGGGACCTTGGTCACCTCCTCACACAACCAGGCTGTGAACCTAAGACGATGTAGAGGAAGCTGAGACAAAAAGGGGGAAAAAGGAGTAGGCCAGGTAAGGAGGGGGAAGAAAAAGTAGACTCTAGACTTCGGGTTAAAGCATATCAAAAGTGTTGGTCATGCCAGAGGGAAAGCTACCCTTCTCCTTTGCAGGATTTTGAGGAACACCCTCTTTTACTTTCCATAAATCAGATACTGGTTCCTTCATAATCTGCTGGGGACTTAGAGTTGTAGAACGACTCCTCAGTGTAAGAAATCATATTCTGAGAGAAGCTGGCATCCCTGTCTCTATGTATTTCTGTAGTTTTAGCCCAGTCTCTCTAGCTTTTTTTTTTTTTTGTCTACTTTTCTGTCTCTAAAAGTCAAAGGCAGCACAGGAAACGGGCAGCCTTAAGTCTGAAATGATAGTGAAAAAAACTTCAGTGTTGTGTGTCTTTAGCTCAGTCGTTTTCTCTTTGTCTTTCAGAGTATCTGCTTTTATCTCTCCCTGTGTCTGACCTCTAGCCTTATCCAGACTTTTTCTCCCTCTCTCCCCAGCCCAGGCTGTGGGAACCGGGATCAGTCACTCTTCAGTACTGGATACAATGGGCCCTGAAAAATATATAAGGGAAGAAATAACAGCTAAGGTTGCTCTATGATTTCCTGTCCCTGTCAGTCAGTCCCTGACCCAGCCCTCTGACCACATCCTCTCTCACCTCTGGCAAAGGCTTCTCTGACATGTACACCGCCCACCTGGTCTTGGGCTTAGGCGTTCCCTTCCAAGAACCTCTCACTAAATCCCATCATCTTTTTGTACTCTAAGAACTAATGTACTGTACTTTGACTCCAGTATTGAGAACATAACATCTCTTCACACTGATTCCCTGACCATCTGTCTTACTGCTCTTGATCTCTGTCTCACTCTAGGTATTTGATGCCACTACCCCTTCAAAGGTGACCACGGGCTTCTAACTGCCATGTTCTCTGGCAAATGGTGGCCAGGGACCAGGGACACCCTTAGGGTGAGGGCCCAAGGCCCATCCCGGGGAGCCCGCCTCTACATCTTATATGGCTTCACCTACATGGGAGCAGATGGCCAGCAGGTGTCTCTAGCTGAAGGTGACCGATTCCTCCTGCTTCGAAAGACCAACCCAGACTGGTGGTTGGTGAGGCCTCTGGGAGCACCTAGGAACACCCGACCCCTTTTTGTTCCTGCTGCATATGTGGCTGAAGAGTCTACATCCACTAGGAGGGCCTCTGACACTACTACTAGCCAATTCCTCTGTGTCCCTAGTAAGTGAAACCCTCCTCTTCTCACCCAACCCTAACACCCCTCAGTAAGTCCCAACGCACAATCCACATCACCCAACTCCCTTGTTTCTTATAATACCCTTAATTATTAGTGAGTGATTCTTACTTAAACTGGCTTTTCATGGGTTTTTAGCAATGCCTTTCTCCAAATGATCCCCATATCTCTAATAAGTAGCTCCAACTTTTCCTGCCAATCTCTCCCTCCCCAGGCCTCTAGCATTTCAAGTCCCTTCTATCCTCATTTCACTTCCCCACCACTTTCCCTCTCTGTCTTCTGTCTTTCTATTGCCTATCCCAAATTAATTGGACCCCCAGAAAAATGAAGCCACCTGAAATTTGGTAGGTTACAAATCTATTTTCCCTCTGCCCTTCTCTGTCACCAGAACCAAATCGGTTTCATTCTTCCCTGGAAGAATTGTCCGTGCCTCAGTCATCCCAGGGTAAATCCCCCAGCCTGTCCTGGCAGCCTCCTCTTCCGCCAAGAATACGAAGAAGTCTTAGTGCAACTGGACTGAATCCCAGCCCACTCCAATCCCTCTCAGATGGATTGACTGGGCATTTACACTCTCAAGAAGACCTGAGAACTACGACCAATACCATCACAGTGAGAAATTCCCCTTTTACCCCAAAATCATTCCAATTAACTCTGAGTCCTCGGCCCGATGGCACCTTTGACTTCTCTGTACACTTCTGAAAAGAACAAATGGCCTGATTTCCTTGCAATGTCCACCCACCCCAAAGCCTCAGGTCATTGGAATACCCCCATCTTTTCTGAGGTCTAAACCTCTCACCTCCCATTACAGGCCCAGTCAATACGAACTTACTCTGTCCTCCTTGGGAACCGAGAATGTCCGCTCTTTAGATCCCGGAGTTAGGGGGCTCAGTTTAAGTCTTCTCTTCTACGAGAACAGGCGGTGTGGGTGGGTGGAGCCCCAAGCTCCTCCCTGCCCCACCCCACCCCCAAGCAGGCAGCATGTTCCCCTTTCCTTCAGCCTTGGGGTTAGAGTTATGTGTTGGGGGGGAAGTTGGCAACAGGAAGCCAGTAGGAGTAAAGTTAAGGGGAGGGGAGCAAGAGGATTAGAAACGGCTAAGGACAAGTCTACCAGGGACACCCCAATCTGGAGCTGGTGGTAAAAATATAGGGAGTAGGGGATTGGAGTTGGAAAACAATCTGAGCGGCCCGGAACAAGGAGGAAAAGGCTATCGGATTGTGGAGAAGAGGAAACAAAATTAAGGAGTTTGGATTAGCATCTTTATATTAACCGTCTCTTTCTCGCGCCCCCTCCCCAGCAGTCGGGACCCTGGTCCCCCATGTCCGAGCCCCCTCTGTACTGTAACCTGGTGGACCTGCGCCGCTGTTCCCAGACACCACCCCCAGGCCCTACTCGGCCCCCACTACAGCGGCTGGACTGCTGGGAACAGCATCTGGACCTCGACTCTGGTCGCTGTTTCTACATCCACTCCCTGACTGGACAGGCGTCCTGGAAGCCTCCCCGAAGAGCTCGTGAAAAGGTGAGACCTTTCATCTATGAAAAAGAAAGGCCTTCCTCTTTGGAGTGTACTGCTACCCTTTCTCTCGCCCGGCACCTCACTCATCTCTGCCCCTCCCCCTTCTAGAGGTGAAACTTCTCTGGGAGGGATTTCCTCATCCCTCCCAATTGTGAGATGAAGAATCTGAGGGTCTGTGGAAGGTCTTTTAAAGCAGAGGGGTTCTTAAAATTTACTGTGTCATTGTCCCCTTCAGCAGTCTGAGGAAACCTATGGACCTCTTCTCAGAATCACGTTTTCGAATGCATAAAATAAAATACACAAAATTACAAGGGAAACAAATTATATTATAAATCTTACAGCAAAAAAGTTATCAATATATTTTAAAAAACCAAGTTCCTGGGGTCCAGGTTAAGGACCCTTTTTTGAAGTGAAGAGATTGGGGAGGCTGTTTTGAAAAGTATTTTAGTTTCGGTTGTTCCCCTTTCCTCCACGCGGCCAGGCCCCCGACTCCATGGAAGGGCATCTGGGGAGAGATGCCCAAGCCCAGCAGGCTGAGGAGAAGGGTGCGGGACTCTACAATCAGGTGTCAGAAACCAAGGAGACGTTCACCGCTCAAGTGAGATATCTTTGACTCCCTCACCTGCACGCCAGGGAAGATCTTTAGTCGTCCCTTTGCTCTGGGAGCCTGCCCCACCCATCAAACTCCCCGATCCCCCTCAAAACAAACACCCCACCTCGGTTGCCCCTGGGTTGATCTTTCCTCTCTACTTCGCGGTTTCCTTTGTTCCCCGCCCTCCCCCTGCTTCTCAGAGGTACTCTTTCCTTCCTGTCTTCCGCCGGACTTCGGAGTGGAGATGGGAAGGCTTGACTTCTCCAACGCCCACGGTTTCCATCTCTTCTCCCAGTCCTCACTCTGCCTCACCGGTTCCTCCTCCCAGACCTCCATTTCGGACAACTCCCGAGGCTCCCTGGCCCTTAGATCCCAGCCTCAGCTCCTGGATGACCCTCACGTGAGTCTCTCTTTCCACCTTAACTGTCCTGTGTTCTCCGGGTCTCTGGGGTCCTGTCCAAATGCTTCTCTAAAACCCCATCTCTACCTCCACTTCCACGGCAGAAAGTGGTTTCTGCCTCCTTGAATATTCATAGAGCACTTTGACCTCTTTCGCAACTTCGAGTGATACTTATCAGTCTATCTACTTTTCATCCTCAGCTACTCCTTCTCCCTCTTAGTAGAAAATAAGCTAGGACTATTGTGCTATCTACTGGTCTCCACATTTCTCTCTTTCTCTCTCTGTCGCTCTCTCTCACACACACACACACACACACACACACACACACACACACACACACACACACACCTTCCAAGCATAATAAATGTTTGCTTACTTGAATTCAGACCAACCCTACCCTTCTTCCAAAATATCCACTCAGACTTCTGGAGATGGTTCCTGAGCTTCAGGAATGTCTAAGTAAATAAACTGAAGCTCCTCTGGGATAACTCCCGAGCCCCTGGAACACACCTCCGTGGGGTCTAATGATAACTTTTCTATCTTTCCCCACACAGGAGGTGGAAAAGTCTGGCATGCTCAACAAGACAAAGATTGCTGAGGGAGGCCGGAAGCTCAGGTGGGGATTGGGGAGCTGGTCATGGGGGATGGGAACTGAAAAATGAGGGCAGATCTGAGACCCTCTTTTGGGTCCCACACCCTGATGGCAGTCTGGTGAAGCCTATCGACCCTTTCTCACAATCATGTTTTTAAATGCTTAAAATTAAATATATAGGATCACGAAAGGACCCGAAGGCTAGTGAAAATATAGATAGAATGTTTTTCACATTCAAGTCCATGGACTCCCAAAATCTATCCATAAGAATACCCTGATCTAGGAGGTAGGGTGTTGATAGGGAGAGTTATCTCCCTGGGGTGTGATGATTTTCCCAATGCTCCCTATAGGAAGAACTGGGGTTCATCCTGGGTGGTGTTGGCAGGAAATAGCTTGGTGTTCTACAAAGTTCCTCCAACTTCAGTTCCTGCTGTATGGGTAAGAGTTCTGCGCTGGGAAAAGGGGTATTGGAGTAGAGGGTCTGCATAATGAGGAAGAGAGGAGAGGAATGGCAAGTGGGAAACACATTTTCTCCCCCATTTACCTACTGGATTGGAAAACTGAGAGGTGGTGGTGGTAGTGGTGAAAATAGTAAGGAGGTCAGGGAACAAGTATAAAGTGAGTTGGGAGGACCTTACCACCATTTCACCTTTCCTACTCTCTTGGGTAGGGGGTTGACACCCAAGAGTTAGGGGCCATGAGAGGGAGGTAGTAATGGTCTCAATTTTCTCTCCTGACCCTACCCTCATGCAGGGTCCAGCTGGCAGTCGACCAGAGAGCAGTGTGGACTTAAGAGGGGCAGCTCTAGCTCATGGTAGACATCTGTCCAGCCGCCAGAATGTCTTGCATGTGAGTGACTGTCCATCCTACTCTCTTCCCAGGCAACATACATTACTGTCCTGGTCTTCTGCCTGATGTCTCTCTACCCAGCATCTCTCCACTTCCAGAAGCCAGACTCCACATATTTCCCAAATATCTGCCTTCCCCCAAATCTTATCCTCCCACCACTAAACCTTTCCCCTGGGCCTGACCTTCAGGTGCGTACTGTTCCTGGACATGAGTTCCTGCTGCAGTCTGATGATGAGACAGAGTTCCGAGCCTGGCACCGGGCACTTCGGGAGGTCATCGACCGCCTGGTCAGGGGGCCAAGAGCCCAGGGTGTAGGGTCTGGGAGGGAAATCCAGGGATAAGGTTGGGCAGAGGGGTTTGGTCCAACAAACAAGATTTGAGGAGTGGGGTCTGGGGGAAAGTATGAGACTAACATTGGAGCTAAGGGTTAAATTTGAATATGCAAAGATTCCAGAATCCAAACAAATCTCCGAACCAGAGTTGGGGACAACAGTCTCTCCCTAGCTCATCACTCCATCTCCCCAAGCAGTAGTGTCTAGACCCCCCTCTCCATCCCAATACCAAGCTCTGTCTGATTCCAGGAGCGTGAGAATCCTCTGGAACTGCGACTATCTGGGTCTGGGCCAGGGGAGCTTGAGGAGCTGAGCCAGGGTGAAGAAGATGAAGAGCTAGAGCCAAAGCCCCTGCTAGGACGTCGAGGAAGAAGCTATAGGATCTCTCGTAAGAAACTGGATTTAGTGGGACAGCCTGAGCCAGGAGGCAGAGCAAGGCCAGATGTCAGGGAACGAGTTGGGCCAGAACCACTGTGACTAGTCCTCAGTTGGGGATGTGTCCCAGGATGCTTAAGGAGGTCTGGGGCCTTTCTCAGTTCCCCCTCCCAGTTTTCCACCCCAACCCTAAACTTACTTCCTTAGATCGGAGCCCTGAAGATCAGAATCGAGTGAGGAACAAGCTGAAAAGGCTGATAGCAAAGAGACCTCCATTGCAGAGTCTGCAGGAGCGGGGACTGCTCCGAGGTATGAGTGGGAGAAAAGGGATAATGGGCCTGAGTTTCAGCGGGTAAAGGCTTTTCCAAGATCGAGGTGATTTGGAGGGGGCTACCCACTTCAAGTTGGGGGAGGTGGGGTAAGGAAGAGAGGAAATTTATGTTTAAGATAAACTCCCCAGGCTAATAGGAATCTCTTCTTTTCTCCTGCCCCTCCCAGATCAGGTGTTCGGCTGCCACTTGGAGTCTCTGTGCAAGAGAGAAGGGAGTACTGTGCCAAATTTTTTCAGGCTCTGCATAGATACTGTGGACAAGAGAGGTGACTTTCCCATAGAGTCCCAGCCTCCCACTCTGTCCTCCACCCCACGACACACATAAACTTCCTTTAACTCCAAACTCTTCCCCAAATCCTTTTTGTAGTCTCTGTTCTACACTGCCTAACTTTCCAACCTTCTGCCTCTCCCGCCCCAGGCCCTCTGTACACATCTCCTCCACACATTTCCTAGACTCCTTTTTACACTTTCCTGATTCCCTCAGATCTTCAGTTCATTCAGCAGATGAGTATTAAGCTTCTGTTGAGCTAAAGAGATTGGATTAGTGCTGAACTCACACACCTTGCTCACAAGATGCATACAATCTTATTGAAGGGGAAAAGGATCATAAATACCTATGAGATGAGTGCTATTGTTAGGTAAGGGTAAGAAGATTTTGAAGAGGGAGAGATTACTTTCACTTAAGTGGAGAAGTGGGGAAAGGCAAATAACACTTTCTGACCAAGGAAAGTGTTGCTTGAGTTGGGCTTTAAGGGAAGAAAGGAAGTTCAACAGAGGGTGATGGAATGGAGTCATCTATTCTAATTATTAGCCATGACCCAAGACAGAAGGCTGAACAAAACGGAGTGTTTTAATTTGACTGGGACTTGGCTATGTGAAGGGAAGTAATGTAAGGTTGGAAAAGGAGGCAGGAGGCAGACTTTAGAAGAATTTAGATGCCAAGATCAGAAATTGGTATTTTAGGGAGGAGAAATTGGAAGTCTTCTGAAGATTTTTGAACATTGGAATCCCATGATTGAAACAGAAGATGCAGGCAGCTGTGTAAAGACTGGATTTGAGATAGGGTAGACTTGTTCCCAGGTTCATTCCTTTGCCTTGTCTTATCCCAACTTTAGGTCTGGATGTGGATGGTATTTACAGAGTCAGTGGGAATTTGGCTATAATCCAGAAACTTCGGTTCCTGGTGGACAGAGGTAGGAGGAACGGAAGTTAAGTATTGGGGCTGGTATATGGGGGATTGGGGTGGGATTGGGGACCCAGCTGGAAAGTTTGAGAGATGGAGAAATATCTCAACACTGACTAGGGGGAATGATTGTTGGTGATCTGGATATTAGCACTGACCTTTCTCTCTCCCACTGTATCTGGCAGAACGAGCGGTCACGTCTGATGGAAGATACCTGTTCCCGGAGCAGCCAGGACAAGGTACTTACATGGAGCTTCCACCCCCACCCAAGTTTTCCACATCTTTTGAGTGTTCCATGTTCTCCCAGCTTCAACCCTGCTCCAGAAAGCATTCTAAACCTGGATGGGTTGTCCCCAACCTCTCAACTCCCTGTGTTAAGCCCCAGGATAGCCTATGCTTGTGTCTTCCTCCTAATTTCTAAGCTATTCATCCCCTCTGTGTCCCCCTACCCATCCTGTGCCCTTCTCTGCACTTCCACATCCTTCCTCCCACAGAGGGCCGCCTGGATCTGGACAGTGCTGAGTGGGATGACATCCATGTCGTGACAGGAGCCTTGAAGCTTTTTCTTCGGGAGCTCCCCCAGCCCCTGGTCCTTCCATCACTGCTGGCACCCCTTCGAGAAGCCCTTGGTAGGGGGTGGGAGTTTAGAAGGACGTTTGATATGAGGGTGAATGGGAGGTAAGAAATAGGGGACTTCAGCTCTTGGGTAGGAGAAGGAGATAAACCATTAGTGTGGGGAAGAAATGCCAGTGGTAGAAGGCTCAGTAAAGTAATTTCCTAAGTCTGCCCCTCTCTAAACATAGGCTCTAGCACCTTCCCCATCCCTTCTTCTATTACCCTCTCTCTCTAGCACTTCCTGAATCAGAGCAGCGCTTATCTCGGGTACAGGAGCTCATAGGCTCAATGCCAAAGCCCAATCAAGACACTCTTCGGTGCCTCCTGGAACATCTATGCAGGTAATAATGGAGGAACACCTGTGTGGGAGGGAAGGGGATAGGGGAAAAATTCCTTGCAAATGGAGAGGTCCAGGTAGAAGCTGACCTAGGGTAAGGACATCTGTACAGGTGAAGCCAAGGATGCATCTGTGTTTGTGGAAAAGGGAAAAATGGCAAATAGAGCTATACATAGGGTCTGATCAGCAGGGAAGGGAAGAGAATAAGAATTTATTAAGTACCTATTATGTACTAAGTGCTTTATAATTTATCTCATTTATTTCATTAGCAAAAGGCATTAGAGGTCAAGGACAAGAGGGAAATGGGGCAAGACAGGAGAGGGAGGACTAGAAACAAGGAAAAGTCAGTTTCCCTTTGTCTTCCCTCCTCTTCCTTCCTTTCTTCCTTTACCTCTCCCACCCCAAAGTGTCTTGTGCTCATGTAATATGATGAATGATACACATTATCCCTCTGACTTTGATCCCTAGGGTGATAGCACATGCAGACAAGAACCGAATGACCCCACACAACTTGGGTATTGTGTTTGGACCAACATTGCTACGACCAGAGCAAGAGACCTCTGACCCAGCTGCCCATGTTGTCTACCCTGGTCAGCTGGTTCAGCTGCTACTAAATGACTTCACCAATCTCTTTCCTAATCCGTGAATCCTGGTCTCTGCCCGACACAAGGTTGTTGATATGATCTCCACTCTGAAAATGGAGGGCAGGAGGGATAGGCCCTCTATATGTTAGGCATATACATTTGAGTAGGACTTCCATCTATTAGCCCTAACATTTGGGTAAAACCCCCATTTGTCAGACACATTTTAGGAAGAATGTCTGTTTCAATGGATGAGTTCCATTTTAAGAATTTCCCTATTAGGGGAACCTGTGATTTTGTTTTAAGTGCGGAAGGAGGTTCTTTGTTGGGGGAGTCTATTTGGGACATTTTACCCTTTAAATTCTGTACCACCTAATTTTATCTTCATGTATTGGGAAGGGGTTATCAGGGTCACTTTTAATAAGGAAGGACTCACATAGACCCCAGATCCATCCTGGGGGTGACCTGACCCTTCAGAAAGGGGATCATATTTATCTCATCACTCTGTCTCATTGTGCCCCCATTAAGAACTAGAACTCTGGGGAAATCTATTAAACAAAACTTAGATATGGTTCCTATTTACAGTCTCCCCCATAGGTAAGAGAGTCCCTTCAAGAAAAGGTACTTAATTAACAAAATCAGGTATAAGACAGCTATTTGCTTTCACTCGTGTAGCTATTAAAGCTAATGTTACATTTAAAATACAAAAGACTAATCCATGTATTAACAAATACTTAACAAATAAAACAATAATATATCACAACTGTTACAGAATCCCCAAGAAGTAAAGGCATTTTATGGGACTATTGCCGCTGAACAAATATTTCACATTCAACTTGGATCTGTACTATCCAAGCAATTGAAAAGGTTCAGATCTTCTGGTGCATTATACAGAGTTTCAGAATGAATCCTGTGATCATCTTTTTTTTCCTGGAGAAGCAGTGTAGTTAATGGAGACACCTTGTGTTGGGCAGCCATCACCAACTCAAAAGCTCAGGAACTTCCAAACTTGTAAGTAGCCACCAAGGTTGGAAAGGATCCATCTCAGGATCTATGGTTGTGGGTAGTAGACCTGTGCTCAGGGAAGAGAAAACAGTAGAGACAACCAGGGATTTAAAGTTTAGTCTCAGGTTCACATAGAAAGCACATGTTCTTGCTGCCATGTACTCATAGCCACCATTGCCACTGTAGGGTGAAGATGGGTGAAAAATCTCTTTCCCTTTTCACTGAAGGTCCAAAGTAGAGCTGACAAAGTCCCAAAGCAATACTCTCAAAAGAGTGGGCATAGCCTTTCTACCACCTGCTGAGGGGAAGCTTCCTCCTGACTCAGCTGCCAATCATCTCCAACAGCACTCTTTTCAGAGAAGCTAAGGGACCAGTTAGGAGTTTCTGGGTTGGCCATGCCCTTTAGTAAGGGAGAGGGGCTTGAGAATATGCTCCACAAAAAAGGGCTGGAGAAGTCACTTAGTCCAGAAAATTTGTGGGCTTCCCTGCGTATCTCCCTTACATTCATTTCCATGATTCTGGATTGAAAGGCTAGAGCAGGGCCCTAGATGGTGGAGTAGAAGCAACAACCCAGCCAAACTTTCTCAACATTCCCCTCCAAACAACTTTGAAATCGTACCTCAAATCAAATTCTGGAGCAACAGAGCCAACAAAAGGTCAGGGAGAGGCAATTTTTTTCTAGCCTAAGAGGAGTTCGACAGGAAAGGTCTATTACACTGGGGTAGGGACCAACCTGGAGCACGCTCAGCAGCAGCACCAGCAACAGCAGTGGACCTTGGAGCCTGTTAACAGCAGCAACAGGAGCAGCTTTGGGAGCTCTCAGCGCAGAGATGGTAAGAGGGCCAGAAAACTGGTCAGAAAGAGATTACAGAGGACCCTTTTCCTGACACTGGGTGAAACTGGCACTGACTAGCACCTCTGTTGACCATCTGCAGTGCTGGGTCACAGTTTCAGGGTGGAGAAGTGCACTTGTGATGGTCACAAGGGAGAAGGGGCCCTGGTTACAGTTCCAAGGCAGAGAGGAGCATTAGGGCTTATGGCCACAGGAGAGCAGAGGACCTACTCAGTTTCAGGACCAAGAGGAGTGCTAGCCGTTGTGGCTGCAGATGAGCAGGGGCTGTTCCTGGGGAAAAATCAGGGCTCAGACTAGGAAAGCAGTGACCACATCTCTCCCCAGATCATACCACTTTGGAACCACCAAAAACTTGTATACCATCCCCCCCCAAAGAGCTAGTCTGAAAACAGCAGTACAAAAAGGCCTGAAGCTTGAGACAGTGCTATCCCACCCCAAAGTGAGCAGAGCCCAACTTTAACATAAAATTCAAAGTCAAGAAATAGGCTGGGAAAATGAGAAACAATGAAAAAAGAAGCTGACCATAAAAAGCTACTATGGTGATAGAGAAGACCAAAACACAAACTTAGAAGACAACAATAAGAAAACAGTTACAACCAAAGCCTCAAAGAAAAATGCTAATTAGACCAAAGCCAATAAGAATTTCTGGAAGAGGTAAAGACATGAGTGGTAGAAGAAAAAATTGGGGGAAGGAAAATTAGAGTGATGCAAGAAAATTATGAAAAGAGAATTAACAGCTTGGTAAAAAAAGAATAACACCTTAAAAAACAGAATTGGCCTAATGGTAAAGGAGGCATAAAAATTCACAGAAGAGAAGAATTCCTTAAAAACAAAATAAGAGAAATGGGAAAATAGGTACAAAAATTCACTAAAAAAAAAGAACTCCTTAAAAAAGGAGAATTGGCCAAACTGGAAAAGAAGTACAAAAGCTCAATGAAGAAAATAATTCCTTAAAAATTAGAATTGGGCAAGTGGAAGCTAATGACTCCATGACACATCAAAAAAAATGAAAAAATAGAAGAAAATGTGGAAATAACCCAATGAAAAAAACAACTGATCTGGAAAATAGATCAAGGAGGGATAATTTAAGAATTATTGGGTTGCCTGAAAGCCATGATTAAAAAAAAAAAGGAGCCTAGACATGATATTTCAATAAATTATCAAGGAAAACTGCCCTGATATTCTAGAACCAGAAAGCAAAATAAAAATTGAAAGAATTCACCAATCACCTCCTGAAAGAGATCTCCAAACGAAACTCCCAGGAATATGACAGCCAAATTCCAGGGCTCCCAGGTCAAGGAGAAAATATTGCAAGCAAGCCGAAAGAAACCATTTAAATATTGTGGAGACAGTCAGGATCGCACAAGATTTGGCATTTTCCATGTTAAAGGAGCAGAAGGCTTGGAATATGATACTCTGGAAGGCAAAAGATCTAGGATTACAACCAAAACTAACATACCCAGCAAAACTGAGTATAATCCTTCAGGGGAAAAATGGGTATTTGATGAAATAGAAAACTTCCAAGAATTCCTCACGAAAGGAACAGAACTAAATAGAAAACTTGGCATTCAAACATGCTTAAGAAAATCATTAAAAGGTAAACATGAAAGATTAATCATAAGAGACTCAATAAAGCTAAATTGTTTTATTACTATGTGGAAAAATGACTCCTGTAACTCCTAAGAACTTTATCATTTTAAGGTAGTTAGAAGGGTTCTATATAGACAGAAGGCACAGGTGTGAGTCAATTGTGTTGGGATGACCAAAAAAAAAAAATGAAGGGGTAAGAAAAAGGAAAAGGGATGCACTGGGAGAAGGGGGAAGGGAGAGGTAGAATGGGGAAAATTATCTCACAAAAAAGAGGTACACAAGGGAGAGCTTTTATAGTGAAGGGGAAAATGGAAGTGGCCGGCAATGCTTGAACTTCACTTTCATTGAAATGAGTTCAAAGAGGGAAGCATATATATACATGCATTGTTAGGTATAGAAATCTATCTTACCCAACAGGGAAATAGGAAGGGAAGGGGATAAAAGAAAGGGGGGGAATGGTAAAGGGAAGATGGATTAAGGGAGGCAGTGGTCAGAAGCAAAACACTTTTGAAGAGAGGTTAAAAAGAGAGAGAGAAAAGGATAAACAGAAGAAAAAGGGTAGAGGGAAATGTACAGTAATTGTAACTGTGAATGTGAATGGAACAAGCTCATGTAGCAGAGAGCAGAATGGGTTAGAATTCATCAATATATTGTTTACAAGAGACACACTTAAAACAGAAAGACACACACACAGAGTTAAAATAAGGGGCTGGAGCAGAATCTATTATACTTCAGCTGAAGTAAAAAAGGCAAGAGTAACAATCACGATCCAAGACAAAGCAAAAACAAAAATAGAACTAATTATAAGAGATAATCAGGAAAACTACATTTTACTAAAAGGTACTATAGACAATGAATAATATCAAAAATTTTTACAGCTAATTTCTCTGATAAAGACCTCATTTCTCAACTATATAGAGAACTTGGTCAAATTTATAAAAATAAGAGCCATTCCCCAATTGATAAATGGTCAAAGGATATGAACATCTATTTTCCAGAAGAAGAAATCAAAGCTATCTATGGTCATATGAAAAAATGTTCTAAATCACTATGATTAGAGAAAGGCACACTAAAACAACTCTGAGGTACAACCTTATACCTACCAGAAATAACAAATTAGGTACACTAATAAACTATTGGTGGAACTGAGAACTGGTCCAACCATTATGGAGAACAATTTGGAATTGTGGCCAAAGGGCTACAAAATTGTGCATACTCTTTAACCCAGCAATACCACTACTAGGTCTGTACCCCAAAGAGATCAAAGAAAAAGGAAAAGGACCAATGTGTACAATGTTATACCAGCTCTTTTTGTGGTGGCAAAGAATTGGAAACTGAGGGGGTATCCATCAATTGGGGAATGGCTGAGCAAATTGTGATATATGATTGTGATGTACTATTGTGCTATAAGAAATGACAAGGGGGATGGTCTCAGAAAAACATAGCTAGACTTTTATGAACTGATGCAAAGTGAAATGAACAGAACCAGGAGATCATTGTACACAGTAACAGCAGTATTGTAATGATGGTTAACTGTGAAAGACTCAGACACTCTGATCAATACAATGATACAAGATAATTCCAAAGAACTTGAAATGAAAAATGCTATCCACTTCCACAAAAAAAAACCTGAATAAACTCTGAGTGCAAATCAAAGTGTAATTTTTTCACTTTGGGGTTTTTTTTTTGTTTTTTTTTGTTTTATTTTTTGGGATATGCCTATTATGAATGTTTTGCATGATTTCACACATATAATTGATATCATATTGTTTGCCTTCTCAGTGGGTGGGGGGAGAGACAGGAGAGAGGGGGAGAATTTGGAGCTCAAAATTTAAAAGAAATGTGAAAAATAAATAATTCATTTTTTAAAAGGAAAAGAAAAAGGCTGTAACAAGGGAGATGCCTCACTCTCCCCATCTCTTGTCTCCCATAGGTATCACTTTGTCACTCCCCTACTCAATGGTTCCTACTGCTTCTAAGATAAAACTCCATTTGACATTTAATGTCCTTTGCAATCTTGTTCCAACCTATCTTTCTAGACTAATTCATGCTACTTCCTCTAATCCCTTCCACATTTCAGCCAAACTGGCCTTTTTAAAAAATTATTCTCCATGCTCAACATTCCATCTTCTATATCTGTATCTTTGCACAGGCTGTCCCCCATAGCTTCTTCCTAACTGCCTCACAGAATCCCTAATTTCCATCCAAGCCTAGCTCAAATGCTTCTTGCAGGAAGCCTTTCCATAACCCTCTCCCCCAACCTATTGCCATCATGCTTTACCTTCCTGGAGCCCATGTTATTTCGTGTTTAACTT